AGTCTTTCTAGATGAACAATTAGCCACTGCTAACCAATTCCTCCAAATATCACTAAATGAGAAAAGATGAAATAAGTCCAGTGATTTTAGCCATATGATCACCCTATTTAGAATGCAGTCCATCTCTTCTAAGTTTCTCTCCTTCTCTTGGAAAGTTCTGGTATTCCTTTCTTCCCACACGGACCAGAGCAGCATTACTCTTGCACAACTCCACATAATTCTTCCTCTTCTGTGCTGCCATGGGAGGAAAGCAGGATAAAAAATCAAGCTTACATCCACTGGCCTAACCAACCTGCACCCAAACAATGAGAAGAGCCACTCCCATAACTCTGCAGTAAATGAACAGGAAATTAGTAGATGGTTACAGTCCTCACCACGTGACTTGCAAAGGATACACCAAGAAGGTGAAAGACAAAGATAAGTTCTTCTCTTTTGTAGAATGTCTAAGGTGTTTATTTTCCCATAATGCACTTCCCAACAAAGAGCCATAACCTTAGGGGGAATAGGCCTACACCAGATTTCCTTAAAAGGGTAAGGCCGAGTGGGATTAGATTGGGTAATTGATTTAAAGAAAGAAGCGCAACAGAAGGATCCATTTGGCTTGGGTGTCCAGATCCGTTTATCGGGTTTAGAAGGGTCCAAACACACTGTATCAAGTAGGCTTAGCAGATTTGTTAGGGACACAATTTCCTCTTCCCTTAGGCCTCTACGAAACCCAAAATCTCAATTTGGTGTTAATGGATTATTCATAAAGGAGCAAAACTTCGAGACAGCCTCCTTTTTGTACCTTGAGACAGAGAACAAAGAAGGGAAGAGGTCCTTCAATGGAGCCTCCCTGACCCATATGTCCTCCCAAAAAAGAATAGAGTTACCATTACAAACATCATACCTGACAAAACTGAGAAACTGAGGAAGGATGCCATGAATAGCTTTCCAAGGAGTTGCCAAGGTTGCCTGCCGTGAAACTCTAGCATCCCACCCGTTATCAGAGCGACCATGAATACTACCCACCACCTCATGCCAAAGCCTCTCTCTCTCCACTGGCCACCTCCACAGCCACTTCCCCAGCAGTGCTTTATTCTTTTTAATCAAATTCCCTAACACCCCCCCTCCTCTTTATTCCGGTATACAATCTCCCATTTTATCAAGTGATCCTTTTTACCTTCTCCCGGCTCCTAGAGGAAATCTTTCATCACCTTCTCTAGCTTCCTAGCTTCCCTAGGTGGTATCCTAAACACAGATAGGAAATAGGTTGGTAGGTTAGCTAATGCGGCTCTTATCAACGTGATTCTTCCCCCCAAAGAAATATAGTTTTTCCTCCAAGAAGTCAATTTCTTTTGAAACCTCTCCACCATTGGACACCAAAAACTACATTCCCTAGGGTTTGCCCCTAACGGAAGCACCAAGTTGGTCATAGGCCATGGCGAAATAGAACACCCTAAGCTTCTTGCTATAGCCTCTGCCTGACTGTCCTCCAAGTTAACCCCAACTACACAACTCTTCCCAAAGTTGACACTCAGATTTGACACCCTCTCAAAATTCCTAACCAGATCCTTGAAATTTCTAACTTTCTCAATATCGTCCCCTTCACAGAAAATCAAAATATCATTTGCAAATTGGAGATGGGTGACCGAAATACCATCCCTACCTATCCTCCACCCTTTAATCATTTCTTCCCTGTCAGCCTTGGAGATCATTCTACTAAGCACCTTTGCTATTAGAGTAAAGAGGAAGGGTGATAGCGGGTCCCCTTGTCTGACATTATATGGTAAAGATAATCCCTCTGCAACACTTTTATTGGATGTCTCTTTCCTCTTGAGACATTGTTTCTCTAAGTGCCAACTTTTTATTTTTATTTGTATTTTTAAAGGCACTCTTGGGGAAGTGACATTGGAGTGGAAGTTTTTTTTTTTTTTTTTTGTGGGGGAAGGTGGTGGCTTGCAAGTATGGTGTTACAGGTTGTGGGTGGGATTCAAAGGAGGTGAAATCATCTTATGGTGTGTGTGTGTGCGGAAAGGTATCATGAGCTTCCAATCAACTTTCTTGAACTATATTTCCTTTAGGCTGTGTTTGGTTTGAAAGAGAAGGTAGGCTAAGGTAGGGACACGTTTCCCTACCTTTCCCTTCCTTTCCCTACCTTTTCTTTCAAACCAAATTAAGGTGGGAGATGGTGCAAGCATAAGATTTTGAGTCTGGAAAATTTAAGGGATTTCTGCATCAACCACTGGCATGGGGTAATTTAAGGCGTTTCTGCATCTTGCATTATCACATACTATTTGATATTGCACATGCATGATCACCAGTCATTAGGTCAAGCTCTTTGGTCCCCACCAATAGAAGGTTTCATTAAGCTGAATTTCAATGGAAGTAGTGACGAGTGAAGGTAATCCCGGTCCTTCAGGCATTGGAGGTGTATTCAGAAATGAAGAAGGAAAAGTAATTGCATTATATTCAGGGCCAATAGGTACAACCGTATGTTCCTAGATTTAAGTTTTTACTTCTGCTATTAGAGTGCTGTCAGCATGTTCTTTTTATTTTTATTTTTATTTTTAGGGTGTGCCACCAGGGATCTACTTGTAATTTCTTTATATTTTATTTGTTATATCACATTAAGATAAAATAGAAGCTGGGTGCCGCCAGGCGCCAGCACAATTCTTTTGACTCACATAATTTTTCTTCCTCTTCTCTTCTCCTCTCTTCTCTCCTCTCTCTTCTTCCTCTTTTCTTGTAAGAGAACATGGTATCAGAGCACAACACTGGGCAATAGGAGTTGTTTTTTCCGCTGAATAGTATCCATTCAACCCAGGCATCAGATTTCTTGGACTGTGAAGACAAAAAACCTAATCGGATTGATCAGAAATATTTTTTGTCGCTTCTTTTGGGTTCTTCCTTGGTCGTAGCACCAAGGAAACCCTAGTTGGAGGAGGCCGATGCTGTGAGCTTCCTTTTTTTTTTCCTTTGGCTGATGCTGTGAAGGCTTAGTCGTGTTTTTGCACCTTCGTACAGGTGCTGTACAAGGGTGTGTGATCCCCTTTGTCACAGGTATGTACTATGTTTAAATTGGTGTGTGTAGTGTGGAGATTACAGCAGTATACTCCTTATTTTCTGGACTGTTTAGTTGCTGCCAATAGCCCTTCAGTATTGTATACATGTTTTCAGAAGTAGTGTGTGGAGTTTTGTGCCCTAATTGTGACTGTTAGAAGTAGTACGGTGTGAGGATTGGTCTTGTGCACCTGCAGTTTTGTTTTTGACTTGTAGACCTGCCTTTGAAAATGGCGAATGATGATTCTGCCTCATCTGGGGTTACATCAACCCGTGATACAACAGGTATGGGGACTGAAAGTATGATGTTCCCTATGCCAATTATTCCTTTAAATGGTCTGAACTACCTGGAGTGGGCCAAAGGTGTAAAACTTTATGTAACAGCAAGGGGAAAATCTGGTTATATAAATGGAATGGTGAAAGAACCCAAGAGTGGGACTAGTGAACATGATCGGTGGGGACCAAGAAAACAGTATGGTGATGCCTTGGTTTCTTGCAGCCATGGAATCTGGTGTGAAGAAGAACTTTATGTGGGAAAACACTACAAATGAGATATGGGAACATGCCAAAGCCACTTGTTTTGAGCAAAGGCACTATGCTAAGATCTACCAGTTACAAGCTGAATCATCAGCTTGTAAACAAGGAAACCATAGCTTATCAGCCTATTATTCAGCCCTTACCTCAGTATGGAAGGAATTGGACCACTATTAGACTATAGAATGGAAACATGATGGTGATGCTAGAGCCTATAAGAAGCTGGTTTCTCAGCAGTGGGTTTTTGTCTTCTTGTTGGGATTAAACCCCATATATGAACCCCTTAGAGTTCAGATTTTAGGAAGTAAAGAGTTGCCTTCAGTTCAAGAGGTGTATGCCCTTGTTCAGTCTGTGGAAAGTAGGCGGAGTGTGATGGTTACAACTGAGGGGGAGCAACAGGTTAGTTGCAACGGGTGGAAATAATATGAGAAAGAAAAATGACTCCAGGAAAGATGATGATAAGGATAAGTTGTTCTGCACCCATTGCCGTCGTTCAAGACATACACGTGACACATGTTGGGAGCTCCAA